CCCTTGATAAAGGAGGAACCATACATTATTATGTCTATTTATCTGTCATTGATCTTAGGTAATTGTTCTTTTTCTCAGGGTGACCTTATATTATGAAACGGTGCAAAAATCGAAAAATAATTATAAAAAAGTTCGAAGAAAAGCTGCTCCCGCCAAAATTGCGATAAAAGATAAAAAGGATAAAGCATTTGCCGTTGATCAATCCCTTTTTGGGATGCGGCACGCATTCTACTTCCATTTGTACATTCGTAGTGGCGTTTGAATGCGATGTGGCCTATACAATGACTTGCGGGGGCCAGCCGATGTACAAGTCAGTGTTTTATCCTCCCAGACAAGTCTGGTACCAATTAACCGACCCCGGAGGGATGGAAGGCTTGGTTGGCCCGGGCGACTCACGACCCAGGATTTGATCCCCGGACCGCTCGCGTGGTAAGCGTGCCACTTGCCACTACACCACTTCCGCCCTCAAAATTGCGATACAGGGGTTATTCATAGTGGGGAATCATTTGGTGATAGTGGAAAAATCACCAGTTGGCTGCTGGTTCCGGAAATGCAATATTTTAGGGTGACCTTATAATTATGAAACGCACTGTAGCTCACAACTAAATTGTTCCTCTCTGGGACGCGTCATTTGCTTTCATATCCTCTCATATTTATGAGCTTATTTGAAAGATAAAATACCGTCGGAAAACGTGTGAATTTCGGATTCTCAAACCTTGGTGATAATTATTAAGGTGGCTTAGAATTACAACGTGGACCCCTTCAAATCACGGAAATTTCATGTGGGCAGGGTAATAGTGTTCTTGGAATTCCTCTAGTCATGCTGCACAGCATCGTTCACTCCTTAATGCATATCCACCGACACTAATGATTCTAGTGCATCGATCCGGTCCTACCATTTCCTACCAGCGGCCATTCACTCCCATCTATCAAGGATTCCTCAGTTGAACAATTTCTTTTCCAGGATTCGTGGGGGTCGACAAAGTTTGTATGTTCTCGATCGTTCTGTGCACCGTGTTGCTCGGTTGTGCTTGTGGTATTGTTTCCGACGCGATCGACGACGACTGAACAAATTCGTCATGAAAAATGCTAATTGTTATGAACTTAGCACAAGATTTCAACTCGTCGAAAATCTACGCGTTCTTAAGGTAAGGAATAGCTTCCTAGCATGGAGTTGTTCAATCTACAAAAGCGTCGTGATGTATGCAATCAAAAGAGATGCAGACGGCATGCCCCAAATCTCAGGGCAAGTCTCCCAAAAAAACGGACACGTCCAATACCATCAAAACTAACCACACACGTTGATTACTCTTGTTCTAAACTGCGCTGCTTACAAGGGTACAAGGGTTTCAAGGTACAGGTGCAAGGTTATAAGGGTACAAGTGTTTGACCTACACAACATTATACAAGGGCTTTTGATATGGGATTGTTTCTAGCTCAAGACAGGTCCATCACTATATGACCTCCTCACAAGGTGAGACGAAAATTTGCAGATTTCAAATTTCAAAGAACACTGCGCTCCTTTGAAATCGGCAAGAATGGCATAATTGGTTATTCTCCATAGTTCCTTCTCTCTGTTCAATCTCAAATTCCTTCGTCCTCAAGACTTTGTTTCACTGGAAATAAGTTATATATGCGAGATCCAGAATGGGAGCTGTCACCGGAAGTGACGTGTACTTGATAGAATCTATGTGGATAAGGTGCTTCCAATATATATCGCGAGATATCAGCAAAGCATGCTGGCAGCGACTTACCTACGCAACCTCTATCAAGTCCACGTCACTTCCGGTGACACGCCTACCCCAACTTACGGATCTCGACTGTATGTTTAAAGTATGCTTCAAGAGCCTTAACAGCATGTTTCTCGATACGCGAAGCCATAATGTTTATATCGAACTACGATAAAAAATAGGATCACTTTGCTATAATGGAATTGATTAACATCCAAGACAGCCTGTCTTTGATCCCGTCTTCGCTACCTGAAGAGTACTGGACGGTGAGTTACCAATCGTTAAACCGCAACAAGACGAAACGTAGTTCTGAACTTCAAGTCTCATACGGACCTGCGGTCATTTCATAGTGCGCCCTTGCACCCTGAATTGAATGTCTCCGTGACTCGCTACGCTCAGGGCATTGTAATAAAATCCATACTGAGCGCTGGCCGACGGCATTCCAGCACACCCATCAAGATGCACAGACTGCTCAAATGAGATTTTGAATGAAAACCCTTTTGCACGGCTGACCATGAAGCGGAAAGCACCGCCTGACCATTGCTGCGGGAAAATCATCTGAGACGAAAGCACAGCCCTCCCTTAATCGTCACCATATGAGATGAGTCACGAGTCCACTGTGGCAACAACACGTGGCACGTCTGATGGCTGCCTGGCAGCCAGGAAACACCAGCTCAACCAAAGCCCGAACACCGTTTTCTGAGAATATCGCTTTCGTTTTGCTGGATTCGCTAGGTGGCCTGACTAATGGAACCCACTTCAATTGTAATTGGAGAAACAATTGCCAAGTCAAGGCCGCGCATAACTTAATCCTGTTTTCAAGTGCGAAGAACGCAGACTTCTCAGATCTCCTTCTCCGATATGTACGACCAACACCTCACATCGCAAATGGCAACTCACAACATTCCTGATGAAGATGCTTGACCACGATACTTCATCCATCCATAAGTATGACAGGCGCTCTTCGGACTATGCCTCCCTGCGCCCTGAACAAATCTGCAAGAGAAAAGTACATGATGCGACCACCACCTTTTGCATATAAACGACTTCTTTCAATTCTTAACGCCCCCACTTCCTCAATTCTGGCTGAAGCTCCAATACGCCACTTAGCAGTGCATCGCTGTGCAGACCAATGATATTGGTATGTATGATCATTTTCCTTGTAGTAAGAGATAAAATTTGGATAACAAGAGTGTCCAAATTGAGAAAGGAATTATGAGACAACCCAATAAAATACTTACTTTATTCCACTATTGCTGCTCACAACCCCAAAATCTCAAAATTTCATTTTTCGTCGAAACTTTGCCTATGGGGTAATTCGATGCCCTGATTACGAATATGACATTCATTTTTGATGCTGGCATTTGGCGCCATTTGGCGCCACCTTGTCACGACGGCTGTTTTCACCAAATTCGGTGTAAACTTGTACATAGGGGTTATTTGGTGTCCTGATTACGAATATGACATTCGTTTTTGGAATTGGCGCTGTCTAACGCATATTTTCTGCTTTCCTGGGCTCTCTCACTACATTGTGCTTAAGACTAAGCTTATTGGAGAAGGAGGACTCCGAGGTGGGTAAACCACGCAGCATGTGACAAAAGTTGAAGTGTGTGATATCAGGGTGAGTGGCTCACTCACCTCTGAGCCCTCCTTTCCCCAAGGGCTTAGTCCTGATAGTGATCAACCCAGTGCGAGGGCGCAGACGAGCAGAAAATGGGCGCCAAATGGCGCAAGCGTCAAAAATAAATGTCATATTCGTAATCAGGACACCAAATAACCCCTATGTACAAGTTTACACCGAATTTGGTGAAAAGTGTCGTGACAAGGTGCGCCAACTGGCGCCAAATGGCGCCAGCATCAAAAATGAATGTCATTTTCGTAATCAGGGCATCGAATTACCCCTATAGGCAAAGTTTCGACGAAAAATAAAATTTTGAGATTTTGGGGCAGTAATAGTGGAATAGTGCCAATGTTTACTAAAAAGTTTTTGAATCCCTGTCCTAACTCGAGACATTTTCAATATGTGTTTGAAATGGTTTTTTCCAGTTGATAATGAATGCATCGATTGCATTCAGTGTGTGGTTACCGTGGCCATGTTCTATGATAATACTATCGTTCCTCTATTTCCTACCGACTACTCGAGCAGGCCAAATTGTTTACGCTTCTTTCGAGCTGACCTTGTCATTGTGAGTTCGTTTAATCATGAACTATTGGGAAGAAATGAATGGAGTTTTTTCCTAATAATTGGCGTTCTTCAATCTTCGAAAAAAGTGCTCTCCTCTTCGTGTCGCCCTATGAAGCTGAGAGTAAGCTTTTAAGATTCTTCTCCATACAACTGCACCCGGAAACGAGAAGAATTGACTCACCCAAATTTTCTTGCCGTTATTTAGGCTTCAACTGTAGTCGGAGGTTTTTGTAAGGCATCCTCCAGCGGCGCTGTACACTAACAACAAGCATGCTGTGGAAGTTTTACACAATGATGACAATGCCCGTTTTGAGTTCGTTGACCGCAAGTGAATGGGGCGCTTTTGAGGGCGCGGCCGAGTTACCCACACACGTGAGCGCAAAAAATGAGGATGACGCAAGATAATTTCGACAGCTTCCATTGCAGTGGACTTATTTTTTAGACTCTATTGTAGAGTCGACCGGAAAAGACCTTCTGTGGCAATGAAAACGAGACCAAATTTGGCTTACCCTCGTTAGAGAAGTCTAAAGCACCTTGACGCGGCGGTTTCAGTAAAATAAAGATCTTATTAGTCGTACAGCTTTGTACTGAACTCATACTAATGTTTTTAGCCAATTACTGGAGACGGAGAAGTAACCAAAATGACAAGTTCATAAGGCAAATTTGCTTGAATAAAGCATATAAAGCATATTGAGAAACCGCGAACCGCGATTGATTTGGTTTATGGCATTTTGCAAGCCATAGAATAGATACAAAATATTGGAAAACAATTTGCACATGCTAATAGAAGTATGTATTAGGATGGTAAGAAAGTCCTGAGCCGTTTGACACTTTTTTTGCTTTACTTTTTTATTCCGCGTACAATGGAATCTACTCAACAATATAATCACCATTGTTACTCACTACAGAGTCTTCTCTCAGAACTGGCAGACTGAGAGTCAAAGAAATCGCTGACCGCTCTTTCAACGTCTTCAACTTTGGTGAATTTTTTCTTCGCTAGGAATGCCTTAAGGGGATGAAATAAGTGATAATCAGAGAGGGCAATGTCAGGGGAATAGGGTGGGTGGGGAACCGCGTCCCAGATCAGCTCTTCCAATTTTGCACGGGTCTCTTTAGCTATGTGGGGCCTGGCGTCATCGTGGAGTAGGTGGACAGAAGTTCGTCTCGGTCGTTTTTCTTGAACAGCGTCCGCTAGTTTCTGGAGCTGACTGGCGTAAATGCTGCCGGTAGCGGTATGCCCTTGCGGGAGCAGCTCATAATACAACATTCCTCACGAATCCCAGAGGCAGCAAAGAAGACAGCTTTTGGGGTGAAGGTCCGATTTTGCTTGTGTCGGCGGGTCTTCTCCTCGAGGGAGCCACACGGCACTGTGCTTGTTAGAATCGTAGAGGACCCAACTCTCATCTCTCGTAATCATGCCTTCCAAAAACTCCTTTCGGTGCGGACAAAGAAGGAGAAACTGACAAATGGGTACCCGCCTGAACCGCGTGCTATCGGTCAAGACATGAGGGATCCATCGAGTCGGCACTTTCCTGTGGCGAGGGCGTGGAGGGGACCGAGGACTGTGGGATGGGTGCACCCGAGTCTTATCGTGAGTGAACCAGAGTTTGGCACTGGGGAAGTGGTGTCCCTTCCCAATGCGCTGCTGATGATGTTGACGGTTTCCACTGCTCCTGTGCCGCAGCGCCATTCATTGAAGATGATCGCTCGAAAGTGCTCTTGTGGAATCGACATCATGATTAAAGTTAAAGAAGGCAACCCGGCTATATATACCTACTGCGGAGAAGTATGATCGACAGCGATAATCTATCACGTAGCAGATTCTAGGTATCGATCAATAAGCGAAAGTTCTGGAGCTTTCGAAAAATCGGCTCAGGACTTTCTTACCATCCCAAGTAGATGACACGTATGAGAGACGCATGCGCATCGCGATGCCGTAAATGTGTAATTTATGCGTCACGGAGAAAAAAAGGCAAAAAGGTTTTGCAGCTACTCCGTTACTACGATATAAAAGAAGTAAGTGAAGTTGAAGTTCTTTACCACGTACTACCGAATATTAGGTTGTCCCATAATTAGTGAATCACTTTACATTTATTGCTATAAATTCCAAGAAAAATCTTGAAGGCGTGAAACATGTTTTGCCAAGTAGTACCCACATTGTCCTACCTAAGCAATTAGTCAGCCCATTCACATGTTGCCTTCCGAGGCTTAAAGGACGAATTCACGCTGGAAAGGCAACCCATTTCAAATTAACCTAGGGATGGTGAGTGGTACACGAAAGAAGGAAGAACCATGAGAAACGGCCCAGAACCCGAGAAATGGGACCCCTTCCTTGCCCGTTGATTTGAGCTTCATCGCTGTGCCCTCTTCAACACTACGCTCTCTCACCTATCTAATCACTCGCCACGTATAGACCTGCGGCGAGTGATCAGATGATCGGTGGGCGTGCACTGACCAGCCGCGGCGGGATTAAACCTTAATAGGTCAACGAGGTCAACTCCTCCTGTGCAAATTGTGCTTCAGTTCGCACACTTAGGAGCTCCGCGGGTCCCTCAACCAGGTGAATTCTTCCTAATTCGATTTTCCCTCTGATCGTGAATTCGTCCTTTAAAACTTCGATTTCTGGAGCCTTTCCTCACTCACTAAATAAAATCCCATGCTCCCTCTAGCTTTTAAAGTTCTTTTCAAGGTCATCCTTCGTGTTCACCAGTGTTGTGAAGTGGGTGGAGTGTGCTAGCAAATTCACAAGGAGCAGTAGCCTAGCTTAAAGATTCGGGAGTTCTGACAGCAAAAGCCCAACCACCTCTATGTTCGACACTTCTGAGATTTTAGTGGAGCACAGAAGGGGACCTTCCGCTGGGAACCGCGCCCAGTAATACTAGGTGTCAGTCAGTCAGTAATACAAACGCCGACAGCATTAGCGACGCGTTCTGTCTGAGGTGAAGCAAGACAAATTCTTTTTTCCTGAGGTCATTCGACCCCACCTTTCGGAAAATCTTCATAAAAAATTGGAGACCTTTGGGCTAGCAGTTCTTCCAGCTCCACCGTGAAGCCCTACCCTCGTATCAGCGAAAGATAACCTAGTCTTACTTATACCATTACTCTTCAGGAAAGAATTTACG